CAATGCCTCAGTAGTCAACCCAGCTAAGCTCGAGGAGAACATAGCGGCAAAGAAAAAGACGGATCAGACATCGAACGCAGGAGATTATGAAGCTTGCTGATGAGAGCGACGGCTGACGCCACGGCCACTCACAATCTAACAGCAAAACCTGGACACAAAGGAAACTAAACTGTACCTACAAAAAAAAAAAAAAAACATTGACAATCATATTAAATTAAAGTCACCAAAGAAGTACAATTCTTCCCTTAATTCCCTAGCTCACTAAATAATACGGCCCTCTGCAAAATTTGCTTTTATTTTGCAAGTCTTATCTGGGAGAGAATTGTAATTCGTGATAAGAAACATACAGATAAGTAAAAACCATTATATAATCTTAAAAGAAACTATATGCATAAACAAAGGGAATATGTTTTTCCCACAGTTGACATCGCCTATGTCTCCATAATATAATAAGAATAAAACCTCAGGTACAAAACATACGGGCATTCAGGTCTTCGATTACTCTGTAAGATACCTGGACCTTACATTCTTTAAAATTATTGCACTGTCTTTTATCCTGGACTTGTCCTAACTGATCAAAATCCTTTTTTTTCTCTTTTTTTGAGTCGCGCGTCCTCCACTCTGATCTGCCCAAGGCTAGAGTGAGCTGCCGTGGCGTCAGCCTCGCTCACAGCCACCTCAAATTCCTGGGCTCACGCGCCTCCTCCTGCCTCAGCCTCCCGAGTAGCTGGGAACTAACAGGCATGCGCACCCATGCATGGCTAACTTTATATACTCAATCATCGTACTATACATCTATACGGTATATATCCTCTGTATATCTTACACATATTCCTCACGCATTGCGCAACCTTACGATTTCTTTCTCATTCTTTAGTACAGAGACGCGCGGTCTCACTCTTGCTCAGCTGGTTGCGAACTCCTGACCTTAAGCGATCCTCCAGGGGGGGGGGGGGGGGGGGGGGGGCCTCACTCAGCCTCCCAGAGTGCTAGGATTACGGTGCACAAATAAGTATTATTAAGATTCTTCAGTTTCTCCACCTCCCACTTCTTTCGCTCTTCCCTCAGCCACCTCTGCCAAGAAAACCCTCAGGGATTGTCCCAGATTTTTATTTGTTTAAGGCTCATCACGATTTCCACGCTAGAGCTGGACACCTTTAAAAATTTAAGAACACCAATTTACTGTGCAAGAAGAAACTCAACACGAACTGCCAAAGTTTGCTAATTTAACATTATTAGAAAAAACAAAACCAAACCTGAATATGAGGACATCTTTCGCGGCCTCTGCCAAGTCAACATAGGCCTCTCGAGCCGCAAAGCATTCAAACCGGGCACATCCTTGTGGATCCAGGACACCTGGCAGGCGGTCCCAGCCATTCTTGGGCTTGCTTTTTCCTGCCATCCCAGCCCAGGTGCTGCCTCTAGGCTCTCACAGGTCCGCAGAGGGGAGTGAGGCTGAGCTAGATCCTTTGAGAAGTTCAAAGCCAGATTAACCAGCCACTGAAGTTTGAATCAAAGTAGTGACATTAGATTAGATTTGCATTTTAGAAAGATTTTTCTGGCAACTCTGTGGCAGATTTGGGGTGGAGGACAGACCCACGAGTCTGTTAGGAGGCTCAGTACTCACTAGGGGGCCGGGCGAGGTGGCTCACGCCTGTAATCCTAGCACTCTGGGAGGCCAAGGTGGGAGGATCACTCAAGGTCAGGAGTTCGAGACCAGCCTGAGCAAGAGTGAGACCCATCTCTACTGAAAATAGAAATTAATTGGCCAACTAAAAATATATAGAAAAAATTAGCCGGGCATGGTGGCACATGCCTGTAGTCCCAGCTACTCGGCGAGGCCTGAGGCAGGAGGATCGCTTGAACGCCCAGGACGTTGACGGTTGCTCGGTGACGAGGCTGATGCCAAGGCCACTCAATCTAGCCTGGCCACAGAGTGAGACTCTGCCTCAACAAAAAAAAAGAAAAAGAACACGAAAAGAAAAGAACGAAAACAGAAAAACAATAGCACGAAAACCAATGAATACCAAAAGCTGACTCTTTGAGAAACGCAATAAAATTTTAGAAGACTCGCCCTATCCAGACTTATCAGGAAGACCGAAAGAGAAGACAAATTAGCAATTGAGGAATGAGACGATAAGGCACCATTTACTCCTCAATGGTCTCAACGTTGGGATTCCCAATCGGCAACCTAATCCCAACTGACGTGAAACCAAGCAGCTAATTAAAATTTAAGATCAGGAGCTCAGAAATCTGTATGCAATTTGGGACTCTAAATAACGTTATCGTAAAAACCTTTCATTAAGATCATTACTCTAAGGGTAGA